TGGTTCTTTAAAGAACGTTTTCACATTTTTTTATAAACTTGCATTCTTAAGTCACGTCATCATTGTTCTTTCGTAATTACAATGTTGTATGCATTTTAATTTTTAATTATAACATGTATAAATTATAAATGCAATCAAACAATAATAATATAAATTAATCTAGTGTAATAATTTATGTACACATAAAAAGAGCAATAATTTATAAAATCTGCGATATTTTGTCTTTCTCTCTTTCTTGAGTAGCTAATGTCTGTTAGAAACAAATGTAATACTTGCAAAAAATCGTCAGATAATAATGATTAATAGTTTATTTTCTTCTTTTAAAAAAATATTTGTGTTATTTTATTCTCTGTTTTAACTTTTATATAAAATACATGGAAATATTTTTGAAGATAATCAAATTGTAAATACATACATTTAAAATTACATTAATACATACATTTCTGTTATTATTCTATTATTTCTACTATTATTCTACTATGTATTATTATATAAAGAGAGAATTGCGATATTTCCTCTTTACATTATTTCAAACATATATAATTTTCTTGTAATACGTCAGTTTAATATTTGGCTTTTATAATTTTTTGCCTACATATCTGTGTATGTACGAAGTCGTTATTATAAATTAATGACCGTTCGTCATCGAAGTCGTTATTATAAATTAATGAGTCGTTATTATAAATTAATACCCCGAGGGATACAGTTCGTATTCCATATGGAAAAGAAAGTCTACGACGTCTAGTTTCGATTAAGTGTAGTAATGAGGAATGTGAAATATCCCTCGAGACACCATTATTTCTATCTTTCATATAAAACTGGATTCTGGGTATACCTCGTTATGTCTTTATCAGACAAGTTTACACACACACATACAATACATATTGTGTTACTTATTTTTTTAAAGCATTGCCATATTTCCATATAGTTACAATTGCTAAAAATTGACATAACATATTTGATTACATACATATGTTGTGTAATAATCAAAATACTATCTATCTCTGCCAAGAGAATAATAATATTAATATAGAAATTGAATAGATAAATCTAACAAATTCAATTTTGTAATCATTAATCTAGCAAAACTACTAATATGCAAAAGCAATTATTAAAAAATAAAGCTATTATTTTGTAAATTTTGTAAATTGATAAAATAAAGATCTATATATTGAAGAGATAAATCGATCGAGTCTTTCGTCGATGTAAAAGCGATTCACACAATAATTTGAAATTATGTGAGTAATTAAATGATTAATCACAGTAAATGGCATAATATGATATGGGGAAACAAGTTTTGTTGGGATCGCATGTAATTCGTGGCACGGCATCGCATGCGGTCGGCTCTTTCGTCATTGAAACTCTGACACGCTCATAAACACAGAGCTCATTCGCTCATAAACACCGCATGCTTATCGTGTAGGTCTGTTAGAACCCAATTATGGGTCCGATCGCAATCGAACGCCGCATTCGCTAAAAACATGCAGGAATCTTGATCTTAGATGGAAATATACTGCTTTTACTGCAAACAGTGTAACGCTCCGATAGAATGTGTAACAAGCAAAGTTATGGCAAAGAGGTAATAATTACTTTGTTGTATACCGTCGCAGAAATTTAGTTCGCATTAGTTTTTAATACAAAACAGTACAGCAGATCCAATCGTTTATGATGATTAATGAAAAAATAAGAGAGAAAGAGAGAGAGAGAGAGAAGGAGAGACAGAAAGAGAGAGAGAGAGAGAGAGAATTGAAATAAACGAAAATAAAAAATAATAGGATTAATACAAAATTCACTATTTGGGTAATAATATGAAAGAAATGTCATATGTAGATGTATTACAAAATAATAATATAATATATAGTTAATACATAGACATAAATAATAAAGTTACTTAAATTAATTTGACCTGTAATGTGCTAGTTTATAATAATTAATATTGTAAATATTATTAATTATTGATTAAATATTACTATAAATAGAGATTGGAGTCTATATTTTTAGTTTATTAAAATAAACTCGTTTATTTTAGAATAAAATTGTGCAAAAGTATTTTTATTTGTTACAAATAATTGAAATAAAAAAGATATAAAGAACAGAATAAAAATATTAAACGTGTTAAGTCATAACGTTTATTATTTTAACGTCTATTATGGAAAATGTTGACAATAAACTTATTGTTAATATCATTTTGTTCAACATAGAAAACTAACAAATACCGAAACCAACTAGATGCTAGAGAAGGATAAAGTCAACAACATTTTATAATATATATAATATATGTACAACAAGGTAATACAAGTTTCCGGAAAACTGATGAAAATAACAATAATAAACAGCTTGGAATAGCAATTCATGCGATTCATGCGTGCATTATGGCATGTGGATATACCTATATTATAGACTCCATACTAATGTATATCGTCGCGTATGCCCTTGCCGCGAAATATTCCATATTCACATGTGTGTGTTCACCGCGGGTCACATCCTGCGCTACACATATGTGTAACTGAGAATTACAGAAGCGAAAATTTCCCGCTCTGTATGCCACGAAAGCGTAACGTGTTCATATTTTTCTATTCCTTTTAGCAAGAAAAGAGACAACATTACGTGCACAGATTGCACATATTTAAAATGATATAAATTAAATCTTTCTTTGTTCTTTGCTTGGGTTTTGATCCTTTACTCCTTTTACATGCCCTTTTTCACACATGTTAGAAACACGTAAGAGTTTCTAAGTATAATTTCATACTTCAAAAAAAGTAACCTTTTATTAGAAATTTTTTTTAATGTATACTGTTATAAATATAAATATTTTTAATATAAGTATTTTATAATAAGCGTATAAATATTTTTTAATGAGCGTAAATACCTATTTATTAAATACCTATTTAATAATTTCGCTTATTTGCAAATAAAATAAGTAGAGATCCATGCAGTTATTTTTTAAGATTTTTTTACAAACTAAATAAAAGCATTAAATCAATGAGAAATTGCAAAAATATAATTTTCTTCACACGTACTTTTGCACAAACTTATCGATTTTCGTACGTGCAATAGCGTACTAAGAAAAGATGATACAAATTCTTAACGTATATCCAACGGACTTGTTAAACAAATGATAGCTGAAAGAAGATCCGCATACGGAGTGACAAACTTAGTCAAAACGATATTTCAGAATTTTTTAAATAATGATTTCCGCACGCGCATTACACAAAATATTTTCTATGAATAATGTATACATTAAAAAATTTAGTAAAAAAGACATATAATTAAATAGAAATTACTAAATCAATAAATATGTAAAATTTAATACAATATCAATCGCATCTTGCCAAAATTTTTCTATTATTCTATTACATTTTTTCTATTATTCTATTTCTCTATTATAATAGGATAAAGACTCTACAGAAATGAACGTGGGGACAGATATGTAACCGAGTGTTTCAAACAGATTTTGACCGTAAGTTATTTCGCACACGAGGCATGAATATTGTAAATAAATCAAGATTCCTCGAGCTTCCGTTGTAAAAGATGCTCGTAGGTGCGCTTTTTTAAATAAAAAAAAGAATAATGGCACAAAATGGAGAAAAACCAGTGTAAGATGCTAAAAAAATTAAGTGACAGATCTATCGACTGGATATCCGTTTTATAGAAGAGAAATAATTTTTTATCTTCTTATCGAGCGATTATTTTCTTTTAGTAAACATGAAAAAGAGATGCGTCTTGTATTTACTCTCAAATAATGAAATTATGATATTTTATCTAGCTGTATCTATTTATATCTAATTTTTTAATACTTTATTTAGTATTTTTTTTGGTCTAAAATAATTACAATAAAAAGTAATGCACTATGAAATATTTTATCAAATATTGTAAATGATTTAAAAAATTGTGTTATGAATGTTAAAAAAAATATATTATAAATTATGATTTAAAATTTATAATATATTTTTTCCCTTCCCACTTTCTTCGGTCCAAATTTTATATATTTATATAAACAAATATAAATTTTCTGTAATTTAATATAATAGTAACTTTGCTTTTGCCATCGTATATACATTCCATATGAGAAAATTTCATGCGGAAAATCGAGCTAGTCTTATCGTGGGATTTCGTGAAGCGGAACGTACAGAAAAGTTGAAATAAATAATCGCTATTGTAATATAGGCCGCAGCGATAAACCGCATTGCACATATTGTACTAACGCGCGATGTAATCGGAATGCAGCGAATCGTCCGCTTGAAAAATGCATCTCCTCCTCGTCTAAATTCGCTGGCAGCCGTGCACAATGTTTGTCCAGTGATGTGCAAAATCGTGCACAACATACTATTGTTTTGTGAACATGACTTTCGGATAAGATTACTATGAGAATTACTATGAGAACTATGAATGGGGAAGAATACTATACAGAAATACACAAATGTACAAAGTAGCATAGTATGTTATAAGCTCCATTACTGAATTATACTAAGGACATTACGGAATTATACTAAGATTATACAATATTGAATATGCATGAATTGGACACTGAATTTAAAAGTATATTCATTGATATAAATATTATTTTGATATTAATATATTTATTTATATAAATAGTAATTTATTACAATTTTTATTTCAGCATTTCTTTTAAGTTTATTAATATCACATTATATTGAAAAGCTATACAAAAGGTGTAAATTTAATATAAATAAATGATATGTACTTTTTATTATCTCAAGGATAATGAGGTAACATAATAGATCTGAATAATAATTATTATGTAATACATAACAGAAAAAGATTAGACTCACTAGTTTTTAAGAATATGATATTTATAAATGATTATTATAATTATAAATGACATTTATAATATTATTTTCGATAAATGTTATAATATAAGTATTTTTTACATAAAAATTTATCTCAGAATTTATAATTATAATATTTCTTTTCTAGATTAATCTATTATAAATTAAAATTTTTTATATTTAATTAATTTCATTTATTTATTTTTACAGGTAAACGGGTCCTGGAGTTTACCTGGGTTTGTGTGTGATTTTTATATCGCAATGGATGTAACCTGCAGCACGAGCTCTATATTTAATCTCGTGGCTATTTCGATAGACAGGTAAACATTTTTCTTTTATTTATATTTTAAAAATGGAAGGATCAGTGTAAAAATATTGTATACATATATACACAATATTTTTACAGTGGTCTCATATATATATATATATATATATATATATATATATATACATACATACATACATACATACATACATACATACATATATACATACATACATACATACATACATACATACATACATACATACATACATACATACATACATACATACATGTATTTGGACAAAAGATTTTTTTTCAAATAAAATTTTTATATTTCTTATAAATATTATTTTATATAGAAAAGCTCACATGTTGCACGCATATAAAATATATGCAAAATAAAAATATGCTATAGAAAGCATAACGTTCTCTAAAATTCGTAATTTTTTAATTTATAAACAAGAAATATTTTTTTAAATTAAATTTTATATATAAAAACCAAAATAAATACATCACAATGAGTCTAATGAATCAAATGAATGAATTATAACAATACATTACAATTTTTTTACATTCTTTATTAAATTTCGACAGTAAAAGACATTAATGTATACTTTCACTTATTCTCACAGTCCTAGAAGAATCACATTAATTTCGGAAAAGTTTGGAAATCAGAAAGAAATGGAGTAGGTTGATTTGATTTAATGCCTTGAATATAGTTAAATCACGCCTGCGCATGGAATGCAACTTATTCATAAGAGAATTAGATATACTAAATGTAAGGCACATTTAAAAATTTATAATTATGAAAAAATAATTAATAAAAAAATAATTCATTAAAATCAATGTGCATATATAATACATATATATTTATATATATTATATTAATTTCTTATTAATATCTTTAAAAAATTATAACTTTCTTTGCAGTAAATAAAATATATATGTAACTGATTATATATTACACATCATGTATATTGTACAGACACATTGAGTGCTCAAAATTTAAGTATATTTTACTTCACACATTTTTAAATTTATGCAGGGATCTTATATTATTCTAAAAAAAATATCATTAAAAGTAATAATTATAATAATTACACGCAACAAATAGAACCGTTAATCGCGAATGAAATGCGAATTCTGAGAGACGGACGAGACAAGGATGTCATTGGATCTGCGGACACGGTTTTACGACTATAATGTCCGTCGTATGCGAGGGAATTGCAACACATACGAACCGAATTTGAATTGCAGATACATAGCGGTGACCCAGCCGATAAAGTACGCGAAGCACAAGAACAATAGAAGAGTATGGTTGACGATACTGTTGGTCTGGGCGATATCGGCCGCGATCGGCAGCCCAATTGTCCTAGGCCTGAATAACACTCCCGACCGGATACCGGATCAATGTCTGTTCTACAATACGGATTTTATCATCTACTCGAGCTTGTCCAGCTTCTACATACCCTGCATCATTATGGTATTTCTCTACTATAATATATTCAAGGTGAGAAAGCAATCATCTTTTTTTTGCGCGCAAATGTGTCATCGTGTGAAACATGTATCTTTTCGCATATGTAGCGAATTGAAGGATGTGTATACATGATATGATCAATATTTTGCGATCCGTATATCAATACACATGACAGTTATATTCATCTTCAGATTCTCTATGAAATAAGAAAAAATTTTTTTAAAGAGAAAGAGAGAGAAATTGAATTTCTTTCACAAAATCACGTTAGTGGTTTAAGTATACGTATATAATATATAATTTTTTTTTTCTCACGAAAGATACGAAAATATAAAATATGAAGATATAAGATAAGAAACTTAGATAAAATTAGCCAGAACAAAATATAAAATCATTCAAAATTGCATATTATAAATTAAATAAAACATTATAACCGTAGTTGGTATATGATAGTAATCAATATAAACAACGTTTTAATACAACAATTAAAAATCTCTGCAATTTAATAATTAAAATTTTTTTTATTTAAAAAACTTTTATCTTTCTCAAACGTAATTGTGATCAATAGTTATTACAATATATTTCACATCACTCTATCGAAAATCGATTGTGCTTTGTAATTAAGTAAAATTGTAAATAAAATTTACAACTAAATTATATTTTATTTGCAATTAAATTATATTTGTGCTGAATTTTAAAATATAATACAATTGCGTTGCATAGCAATTGCACAAAGAGTGCGAGTGAAATTTATTTCAAAGATTCTGCTTTAAAAAGGAGTCTATACCTGTCTTTGTAGTTGAATCGACGCACGCACGCGATGACAAGAAGACGCAAAAGAAATTATCTCTTGCTCGATTATAAAAGGGCAAAAATTTATTCTCGCTTCTTTTATCTCTGTGATTAGTTCAGGAACGTGAACTGATCGCAAAATTGGCTGCACCATGAAAGCTCTTATAAAGGCGAGTCCGTTGTCTTCGTAATTTAATTGTCACTTATACTTTGCGGCACTGCTAAAATTAATTCAGTTCTGTTATTGACAGAAAAATTTTTAATTGCGCCTTGAAATTGTAGGATTGAAAAAAAATCATAATGTATAAAAATTGTAATATGTTATGTCGGAATATTTTATCTAGATTTATCGGAATTTTTTATCTAGATTATTGGACATGTTAGAATTATAATAATATAATCATTATGTAATCATAATGTAACTGCGAAAATCTGTGGTTCAAAAATCAAATGCACACAAAAATGTAGAAATTAGAATATGGCTATATATAACCAAATATAGAATATGGCTATATATAAACAAATTTATAAAATCAATTTTATATATCTATTAAATGTTTCGTATTCGATAACAATCAAATATTCAAATTTCATACTATTAATTTCAATCGCAGATGTGTCGAACAAAGAGTCTTATGGTTATACAACGATTATTATATTGCGATTGATCATAAATAAGAGTAGTCAGATAATTTCCACGTTTAATGCGCATAGAACATTTCGATTGAACTGTTAATTTCATACTTGTGGCAATTATACGTGAACAATGCATGTGAAATGCCATAATAATATTGATACATGGCTTCTGTTTTCAATAATGTGACCACGTTATTTGTGCAATATGCACTCACATGATATAAAACGCATCTTTGATAGTACCATTGTCATTTGCAAAATTTTAAGCTAAATTTTGGAATTTCTAGAGAATATAAAAGATAAATTTAAATAAAAAATAAACGTATTTGAAATTCCCTGAGATTTTTCAGAAAAAGAATCTAGCGAAATTTTATTAAAAGATAGAATTTTATATGTATCTCTCTTATTAATCTTATTATAAATTTACAATATAATAAATATGCATTATATGTTATAACAATTTATATGTTGATTAACTGTAATTTGAGCAATATTATAATATTATAGTATTATAAAAAAAGAATAAAATATAAATTTAATTATATTTTTTTTCGTCATAATAATAATTATCTGAATTATAGATTTATTTTTTTTAAATAACCACAAAAATGTTTTTTAAATATTATCGTAAAGAAAGGGTATCAAAAAATATTTATAACTCTTCTTTGAAACTTACAAGAGAAACTAAACTTTTGCCGATGCACCGAAATCGATAACAAAATATTATAATGCTTTTGCGGGGATTTCCTTTTGTAAAACTGTCGAAATAAATCTCGTTAACTGTAGATAGGTGCTCGATAACGCGTCTCAAATGTTATCTGCAAGAATCTCACGCAAAGATTTATGTTATACGTTTACCTTGCGTTTGCAACCCCTCGTCTGATTTATATCGCAATGTAGGTTTTCAATTGATCGTTTCAGGCTCTGCGAAACAGAGCAAGAAGGGCACGTGCTAGCAGGAAACCAAATTTAGGCGATATAAAACCGGGAAGTATTATCGAAAATATCGCACATACGCGTAGGTGAGTAAAACTTGATTGTAAAATACTTGTAATAAATTAAATATTTATTATCTTATTATACTGTAAAAGTTACAGCAGGATCGATTTTCGCAAATTTATTCCAAATGTGCTCTATAATTAATAATATGCATATTTGATTTTGCAATTAAATGTTCTTTATTCAAAACTGAAAAGGAGGGGAAGAAAGAAAAAGCGAGAGAGAACATTAAAATTGGACTTTTAAAATTAAATTTGACTTTAAAATTGCTTTTATAACGATGTTAAACAATTTAAACATAACTCATATTGATTTGAAAGGTCTTTTATTTATTATATATATGAAAAATATATCAGCTACTATACTATATTTATGCTGTATCTTTTACATCTTTAATAAAACTGCTGTTTTGCATGTGACGCATGTAAATACATACATTCATTCATACATACATATATACATACATATCGTCTGTTTTCTTATTCTGATATATTTTTGTTTTCACGTGACTTTATAAAAAAACGAATGCAGTCTTAATATAGTTTAGATTAAAATTTGATAAATAAAAATGTTAATACTTTATAACGTGTGGAAGTGAAGAAATATTTCTATTTCTTTTTATTTTGCGCATTCGTTTTATGTCTTCTAGCACACAGACTGCAATCTTAAATTTTTAAAAATTAAATTATAGAATACGATTTATGAACGTTTTATGTACGTTTTATGTACACATGTACTTCTATATATCCTCAAACTATTGCATTTTCGATCCTCATGCCAGCTTCGTAGGTCGATAAATTCTTGGATTTTTAATTCCTCTTAAATTTTCAACTTGTATATTTTTTCACTTTTTCTTCAGTTATTGAATTCTTAGCTTTTACAGGTCTACTGCATAAAATAATTTATTAAATCGTCGAATTTTTTTTATTTTAACACGAACATAATTCTCATTATATTGCCCAATGCTAAAAATGTCCAATTAATTATAATATGTAAATATAATATATTATTCACACATGTGTACCTATTATTATGTATGTATATATATATATATATATATATATATATATATATATGACTATATAATATAAGATACACACAAATATATAATTTTACTCACGTGAAAATATACTATTTATCATAAATGTTCACAGACGAAAAGTGAGTTTTTTTTAATGCGATATACATGCATTTTATTTTTTTTAAATTCAAATTAATTTTTCAAAAATTTAAAAGACTTGTAATTTCTATATAAAATTAGAGTTTGAAAATAAGAGAATCTAAAATCTTAATTATATAATGTTTAGAAGAACTTAAAATTAATTACAAAACTTTCCCATTGTATTGTTAACAATGGGAAAGCTATAATAAATAACTTTAATACTAATAAATAACTATAATAGATAACTTTTCTCGCACACAATTTTGCTGAGAATAGATCGTCTCGAAATTGGGCAAGGAAGCTATGGCTGAAAGCACATTCCATATATTAGATCTAATCAGGATTGATTTTTGTGATTCCCAAATCCATGACAAATTATACTGCGGAAAAGGAGTCCGAGAGGAAATTTATTCATGTGCTTCCTTATACGATATTATCCGGCCCGTTTGCCGGTACGATAAGCGCGAGGATAGGCTGCCTCCACTTAAAGCTCGATGCGTGACGATTCTTTTCAATTTTCGCGACCGTGTAAGGCTTGCATTCCAACGAGACAATTTCTCGCAGAGATTGGCGTCAGCTGACAGGGCGCGGGTCGAGGAACGGCATGGCCGAGGGTTAAGTCTCGGGCATCCCTGGATAATTCGCTTCTCTCGCACGCCTTCGCTTGCACGTGCTTTCATTTCCGTCGTACTGACGAGGACGGCCTCGTCTTGAATAGCCAACTACTTCCACGCGGTTTAATCGCCAGCCTTTTTGCTTGCATCTTTTAAAGTATGCATCTCGTTACATCTTCCTTGTTCGTTCTTCACGTAAACTTGATGTTAAAATTCACGCAAATTGAATATTATGGGGAAAAATCTTTTTCTCAACAATTATGTCGTTTATAACATTAGTGGCAAAAAAATTTGATTAATATAAATAAAAACATCCAGTAAATTAAGAGATTATAATGTTACAATAAAAAGACTTGAATAAATTTTATAAACCAAAAGATAAATTTATATTTTTATCGGTTATTATGATTTATTTTATTAAAATAAATAGTATTTATAGCAATAAAGATTCTGCATTTCAAAGAAATAAAGAATGATCGCGCGAATATCTTAAATGCACAATTTAAATCTAAACGACAATAGATATTTCACTATCATTATGCAGTAAATATCCGCGATTGAATAGAATTTATATGACTATAGAATATAGAATATAGAATTCATATGACTATTACGTGATATTATAATCAGACTGATAGTATTTATATTTATTTATATGTAGTTATTTAGCAATGCATCAGAATATATAAAGTTATTCGTAGATCATAAATTCGAACATTATTTACTTCGAAAAGTTTAATGCGCGCATGATAATAACTTTACAGAAATATAAAATGCATATTCTAGTTGAACATTTGTTTCTTTTCAGATTTATGATTCGATAAATACATAATATGATATATATGTACAAAATGTACAATCGTTTATGTATATGTATTGTAAATATTATAATATTCCTAATTAAAAAATGATAAATTTTAGTGTTAAACTAAAGACTTAATTCAATAAATTAAATTTTCTAACAATGGATAACAAGCTTTTATATTTTGATTAACTAAAATTGATTTTTACTTCAAAAGAGTTTTAATTCTTGGTCTAAATAAAACGATATTTAATATTGAAAATTAAAAAGTTGTGTATTCAGGCATAGATATTCAATTAAAGTTCTATTCAAGAAAACTTAACCCTCCACATAAAGTAGATGGTTATTTAATTTGTAGATGGAAAAGGGAAGCGGCAAAGTGATTTTTTTAACAATTTATACAGCGCTATAGAGCTTAATGCATAGACATATACGTTCGTAAATATCCAACATCCTTAGATACTCAAGATTTTCGAAAAATATTAAGATACTTCGTTAAGTACTTGAGACCACCAACGAGAGTATCATGAAGATATAAACGAAACTTCCAAACACAAACTCTTGTTTACCTTTTTCCCAACGAAGAGTGCAGAAAATTTAAATATTTAAGAGCTTATATGTAGAGAAAACACGTACTCATATACTTGGGGAAAGCAACCGAAAAATTATTTAACATTATCAAAAAATGAATTTAAGTTAAAATGCAAAAAAGGCATCAATTATGATCCTTATTTTATTTTATATTATAAAATGTAAATAAAACACACACTTTAGTAAAAAAATGTTATATTATAATAAAAATATATTATAATATAATAGAAACTTTATATTATACAATAATAAAAAAACAAAAAATTTTATATTTTAATGAGTTTATTTTAATAATAATGATTAATTTGAATAAACTAATAGAATATAACAGAATTAAGTTAAGAATTATTTCGGTTTTTTTTTCACAAAATAGCTATCTATAACATAAAAAGATTTTTAATTATTTCCGCCAATTTATATGAAACCTAAATTAAAACAATATAATAATTAATATCTGAATATGTATATTTATTTTTTGAACATATGGATTTATAGTTTCGGTAATATTTTAGCGATGTTAAGATTCTTTTTTTAACTCTATACTGTTTTAAAATCTTTATAGACTTTTACGCAAAAGTATTGTACATATTTAAAAATAAAATTACTATTTTATTTCACATTACTTTTTATAAGCGAATATAATCAAAATTAATTTATATTTAAAAATGCTTATTTCCATTATTGACGTTATTAACGGAAAGAAACTAATAAGCATTTTCGCGTTCTCGTAGAGAATTATTTTATATTTTTTAGCTTAGTAGTTTTTACTATGACGTAAATCGTCTTTCCTATAATATACAGTATTTTCGGTTCTTGATAAATTAGACATTAAATGTTCATAGTTGCAATCGCAATGCGGTAACTTTATATATATTTTGATATCTCTCTGGGGTACAATGTGTCTGACATAATCCGGCATCTTGTTAATTCCCTATGTGCACCCATGTCGGTCACGTTGTCCTTTTATCGATTTTGTTATCGCACAGACCAAGATTTGGCCAGAACCGAAATTTTGATATTTAGCTTAACAATTTAATTCATGAATTTTGTTACCGGAGCATGCACATCTTCTTCCGAAGCTACCTTTATGTGTGTATATGACACTTGAATTTATCCAAGCAATTATCATAATTAATAATTATCCCGTATGATAACACAAAGTTGAAATTGTTTGTGTTGTGTTAAATGGAAATAAATAAAGTATGTTTATTAATTAATTAACTGAAATTGCATAAATCTCTATAACGATTTTCTTTAATAATACGTATTATATACAGATGTGTGTCAGAAAAATTTAAATCAATTAATTATGATTATAACATTTTTTTGATGAAACAATAGCAACAAAAAAATTATTTAATAACTCATTTTTTATTTTTGCTAATTTTATATATTAATATTTTTTATATATTTGATTTTGTTGCTATTTAATCCATATAAAATAAATAAATGTAGTCTATATTTTAATGTTAATATATATCTCGAAATATCTTTTTATAATTTTTTTATTTTCTCTAAATAATTTATTAAAAATACTTCAACTTGCAAACTTAAATTCTAAGATTTATTTAGATTATAATTTATATAGATTGCGAATTCATTCGTGCAATAAATTTGCATATTTAAATATAAAAATAAATTCTCTAACATGTGAAACTATTTTTCCGTGGGAAGTTTATTCATGCATGAATATGTCTTATGTATGCAAAAACTGACAGTCTAAGAAAATGCTGCGTCATGTTTTAAGCAATTATCAAATGTGTTGCTTAACATTCAAAGTAAATCGCGGATTATCTTTTTTAATTTGCTAATGTAAAATTTAACTGCAAAACTTCTAGCTTACAGAAGAAAAAGGAATATTAATAAAATTTATGATAGCAGACTCAAATCGTGATCTTTTGCTAAATGTAGACATTATTTTGCAATGCAAAGCGAGTTCTCTGCATGAATTCACAGACATTAAACATTTTAATGCAAATTCGCATTATTCGAATAGCTAAAATTCTGATAATATTACAAATTTAGAGAATATTCAATTTGATAAAATTCGCGAATTTGAATAAATTATGAAGAAAATTGAAAAATTTATGCGATTATGAATTTTACTTTAAATGCATTAGTGCGTATTGCACGTTAAAAGGCTGTTGAATAAATTAACGTAATATTTATATGTTCATATAATACATATTATGTTAGATAACATTATTTGGCGGGAAATATCAATATCAAAGATTTTATCATTCAAGGCATTTATATTATATACTACAATTTTCAATTCACAAAGTTAGCGTACAACAGAGTTTACATGAAAGTTTTTGATATTTTAATATAATTCTTCTTTCTTAAAATTTTCTTGTTTAAACATTGAATAATTGAGGAAAGAGAAATAAATACAAAACTTGAATATTATGATATTTCGATTGTTATTTCATAGCAAATTAAAGATAAACGGCAATCGTTGAGATCTCCGTTGTAAAAGAGAAACAGCGATGCTCTGTCACTCAGGATCTTGCAGGTGCTGTCAAAAAGCGTGTCATCGCTTTGTGCATGGTAGATACGCTACTTGCTGGAATAATGCTGAGGGATGCCGGAAAAACAAGGAAGTGCATGATAGGTGTAGAGGCTTTTCTAGAGGCTTTTGACTAAGATCACGTAGTGGGTATTCTGTGGCAAGGTTTGCGGAAACGGCGCTGGGGGCGGCCGCCCTGGTGGCTCCTGGGATCGAGGAACCTACGAACACCGCTTCCGGCAGCAACGAGGACGAGGACGAGACGCCCCTCGATCCCGTCGTCGTCATCTCCAACGACAAGAGCACGGAATTCTTTTTAGCCACGGTCGTCGAGGAAGCAGCGTAAGAATTTCATCATATCTTCCTTTCATTCATCTTGAGCGAAAGAAAAATGTCGGAATTTTCTTTCAACTTTGATCGGATATCGGATCACATTGTCATATTGTTGCGGGACATGTCATACTTATCATGAAAGACAAAGAAATGCATCATTTCTGAGATAATAACTTTCTTTCTACATCGTTAAAGTATACTTTTCTACGATAACAGCATGAGATGAAATCAAATGAAAAGAATTTGTGCGGTTTTTAATATCGTTTATTCGATATTGTAAAATGTATAATTATCAAACGATAAATTATATTGCATTGTATTTATGGGGGATTAATTATCTTTCCCGATTATTGGAATTATAATAACAGCACAAGTTAATAAATGAGAAATATTGTATTAAAAATTACAACGAGGAATTTATATTAAACATTTCATATAAATAAAAATTACTTTTTAAATAAGAAATAAAGAAATAAAATAATGTTATAATATTTAATTTTTGCATCTTTTTTGTGGAACATGCTGGACATTTATGAAATTGTTCACACACAAATAAACTCGGGTTATATGTATATATTAAAGGATATATAATGAATAATATAATAAAAATACAATTTTTCCTTTGCCAGTCACTAAGCTCCGAAAAATAAGACAATCGTTTAAAAATTCACGAATGCTTAAGAGGTAAAAAAAAATATACGTGATGTTTCGTTCATTTGTAAAAAGAGAAAAATAAAATTCGCGCACGACATTTCTTTTTTATAAATATTTAAAATTTTAGTATTTTTTATATTATTATTATACAGAGAGAAAATTCTTCTTTTCTCGCGATATTAAAAGAAACACTTGAAATTGAGCTTAATTAAATTGAACTATTAAATTGAACTTCTTTTACGTAATGTAACACTTGTATATGGATAAATATTTAATCGAACTACTATATAAATTTAAATATTTTTCAGGAGACATTATACTATCATTTTGTCGATATCGTATGATAAAGAAATTTATAAAATTTCTCAACAATAATTATTTTATATTTTTTTTCTCTGAAGGGTTTCGAGTAATGTAAAAAAGCTTTGACTCAATCAAAAGTTTTAGTTTACCCTTTAATTAATCTATTGGCAGAGAAAGAAAGAGAGAAATCTTCAATTAAGAAGGTATTATTTCTTCCCGTGCAGACCAAAATTTACGTTTATGTATCTCTCTTTTATTCTGAGTTTTTTTCAGATTACTAATAATATAAGAATTATTGTGTTATTATCTTGAGAAAGTAATAATTACTTCCCTTTATTTCTTTAATATATTGTATTTTAATTTTATTTATTTTATTATATATTATATTGCTTTTTTTAATAATATATTTACAGTAATGAAATACATAACAGATGATATATTATCAAATTACGCAATGTAATTATTTTTTCACGGATAAATATAAAAATAATCTGGATGTGTGAGAAATAATGTTTATAAATATATATATGTGTGTATATGTCTCTCAACAAACAAATGATATATATTAATACAGGTAATAAATTTCACTCAAAATTATTTTATTTTTTTTATGTTTAATTTCTCACATCAATAATAATTTACAACTAATTGTTTATAAATATATGTTTTGATTTTATAGTTGCGTACGTGTAAATAATTTTTTTTCGTATTTAATATCTGTATTGTTAATTGAATACATATAATCACTTGCTATGCATACATACAATATAATTTTGCGAACATCGTTTGTGACAATTATTTTTAAACATGCAACGATAACTTTGAAATTTTGTCATAAAACAAATTATAAGGAAATATTGAATTTCTTATGAAAAAGTTAAATAAGCTTTTTCATAAAAACTGCGATTAATTATTTTTCATTAAAATACACTTTTACACTTTTAAACAAAATATTTGATTAGTTATATCTTACATTTTCGGAGCATTTTTCGAATAATTTGTTTTATATAACAAAGAGACAAAAATAATTCAGAATAACACCGAAAGTTTATCGAATCGAAAATCTCGGATAGAAAAACATGATATTCCCAACGAATTTTAAGGCGATTGGGCAATTGAGCAAATTAAAAAAATTCACGGATCTTCTCGCGAACGTGCGAGAAATACAATAGAACGAGTAGCAAAAAGCCAATGATCTCGTGGTCCATTCAATTTCTTCGTTCTCTTCGGCTGCGGTACAACTCGGTTCGAACGTTCGCGTGTCTCTCTATTTCCAAAACCTCGTACAAAGCCCGCGTATAGTACTCGTTTAATGGAAACTCGTCGCTCCGATAGTAATCCGGAAGTTCGTCGGCTAATCGCGATAGACGGTTCCTTTGTGCTGGCGTGTGTGAACAATTTGCATTCTAACTACTTGTTAGAGAGAGAGAGAGAGAGGGAGGGAGAAAGAGAGAGAAAAACAGAGAGAGAATTACCTTTGAAAACAGGCCAATCAACTTCAAACACGGGCATTTTACGATTATTAATTAACGTGTATTTTCAGTACTTGATTGGAAGTGATAATAATATTTATTTTGCCACGCGTGGGATTTTCTGTTAAATATACGAAGAATTTATATACTTATTGTTAGAATGCAATTTGTAGATAAACAGAAATCTTAATAGTTGTACACACATATATTTCTGTTTTCTAGTTATAATTTAAAAAATTGAGAGACGATATAACATGGCATTATAAGACTATGAACGGATTACATGCGCGATTTATTATTTTAATATTATAACAATTATTTTGACATATGTATGAAAATATTTTATATTAAAATATTTAGTAAAATAAAAAAATTATTTAAAAAAGTCTGTTTTACGCAATCTGTATAAAAAATGAAATTTCGTTGTTTAAAGTGTTTAAAATGATTCGTTCTCTTCGTATTGTTGTCTCTGAAAGATGTAAGATCTTGTCGCTTGCATGCACATTTTAATAAAAAATTATTAATATGACTCCATTCAGATGCCTACATAATTCGATTCTCCATGAGATGCTTTCTTTTAAATATATTCTCATATTCCAATTATACAATACCAAAGTAGCAAAATATCAAAAATTATGTTGATCAAAAAGTACGCGATTAAAGTGCTTTTCGAAAAGAAAAATGTATTATTATTAAATATTCACAAATCTCTTTCTCTAGAATATAAGGACAATAATTAAATAATAAAAATACAAAAAAGATATTGCACAAAAATTAAAATAAACGAAAATTTTTCTATTTGATATTTGAATGGAAAATTTAGAGGTGATAATAATGTACAAAAATATTATATGGAGCAAAAGTAATATAAGATTTTACTTTCTTTAAATGCACTTTTTTGAATGCAATCATAATCAGAATGTAAATATAATCATATAGCTAATAATAATAATAAAAAAAGTTATATTAAATGAAAATACTGCGATCTAAAATTTGCTCCAGTTCGATGGCTTTTCATTTCTACTCTGTGCTCCTATATTTCTGTATTCGACACGAAATCTCGGACTTTATTGATCAACAATAGAAATCACAATTAAATCGTAAAGTTATTAAAATTAAAAGTTTACTGCAGCCGGTGAATATCGAGTCTCTTTCTGACACTCGAATCGCAGTTGTCGTTTCAGCGCCGTGGCGCAGGCCCAGCTGTCCGGGACACCTAGTGTACAGCGGAATGACTCCAGCGGCTTTGATGGTGCGGCGAGCAGCACGATGATCCACGAACCGCTCGAGACCAACTCCAGTCCGAGTCCGAATCCGCGAATCACCTCGGGTCCACCATCCTCGTCAACCTCGTCGTCGCCGCCACCGCCTCGAGGTCCGACCAGCGTTTCCTCCTCGACACAGACGAAGAAGAATGGTAACAACGGAGGCGCAAACAAGCAGGAACTGAAGCGACTAAAGAGCGCCGGCTCGCTTTTGCCGCTGCAGCTTGCCAGGACGCCTAGCGTACTGTCGTCCTCCGGAAAAAAGGACCGGAAGAACGCGTCGGCCGGGTCAAGGTTCACGATATATAAGGCCAATAAGGCCAGCAAGAAAAAGAGAGAGAAAAGCTCGGCCAAGAAGGAACGTAAGGCCACGAAGACGTTGGCGATCGTACTAGGTAAGTTGCTCGCATTCCACCTCATTGATAATCGTCTTGGCTTATTACTGATAATCTTGGACTTGCGAATTAAAGGTAAAAGAGTGGAAAAGACAGATCGCATGTGTAAAAATTTGAATATATAATTGGATAGAAAGACATTTAAAGTGATTTAGACTAGTTTTCTTCTGTAATTATTCTTTATCAATAATAAATTAATATTGATATATGTATGTTAATATAATACGGAATATATATATATATATATATATATATATATATATATATATATAAATTTATAAAAGATTGAAAAGCATTATAATTACAAAATCAAAAATAAAAATAATAATTAAAATGTTATTCTTAAAAAAATAATAATTATTAATTACACATTATTTTCCTCGTTAACTTAATTTCATATTTTTATTAACGTAATACATGTCATAGGTGTCTTTTTAATATGCTGGGTACCTTTCTTCACTTGCAACATTATGGATGCAATTTGCACGAAGCTAACGACTGCTTGTCAGCCTGGTGTCACAGCCTTCATCGTCACTTCCTGGTTGGGCTACATGAACAGCTTCGTGAATCCTGTAATATACACTGTGTTCAACCCCGAATTCCGTAAGGCCTTCCGTAAGCTGATCAGCGTGTAAGCGAACGATTCGTACCTCTTAAAGAAGAGATACGAGACAACAAACGTGACTCGGTGTGAATTGTCGTTATTTGTGATTTAACAACGAGACTATAGGCTTTCTCGATAAACTCGCAACAGGTACTGTTGTTCTTGTATTTGAACTGTAGCAGTTGCGTTTGCGTATCGGTTTTCGCATTCCGTTGCTCGTCAATCGTTTCCAAGTGAAAGAGGAAAAGCTAAGTATTTCGGGAATATTTCCTGCAATTTAGAAAATACAATCTACACAAAAATGAATGAAGGTATCATTTTCGACGAGCATCATGTGAACCCTATTTCGTGAAAATAATTTATAAAAATTATTTAAAATATATTAAAAAATATATTATATAATATATTATAAAAAATAAGAGAATGTATGTGTGTAAAAAAATGTTTTCTCTGTTTGCATTTTTCTTACATACATATATATACATTCAAAAAGTTTAATTATTTAATTGTTCACACACATTTTTTTTTTAAGAGAAACATATGTTATTGCAAAGATATTAAATGTTTTCACGCATATAAATTGCACAACATATTATATAATATATAATAATAATAATAATAATAATTTTGACAGTCACTTTTTCGTTAAATCTTGAATGAAAAAATAAGATATTGTTTATCACATGTACATTCGACAGAAAATGAAGAGATTTCTCAAAAAAAGAATTGTATTTTACTTGGATAAAATTGATGTCATCAGACGGCGAAAATTATTTGCTGGTAATTTGTTGCTATCGAATGCAGCAACGAATCATCGCGTCCACGTGCGTAAATGCGTACACTGTGATATCGAACTATCGTGGCGTGCTGGGAACACACGTGGACTGGTATACATGTGCACCGACAATGAAGCTGAATTTTCGCACGAATAGCTCAAATAATTTTGCTAAGTGAGGCTTCGCGAAATGAAACATTACGCGACCATTGATGTATCACGCGAAATTAACAAGAATTTTAGGTAATCTGTACAAATTGCAAGCGACAAGCACTTACGCGGCATCCAAGGGACTCGGCAGACTAGCTGTTAAGATGTAATAATCGCGTTCGTATATAAGGGCGGATCCCTCTTGAAGATTATTTCGCGAAAGCAGCAGATAATAATGAAGACCCGAGAGCGCGGAGGGTTAAAGTTGTTGGAGGTGTATTTATTATGCGAGCATATATTACACGTACACACACTATACGTCTCCGTGGATAATTAAGTGCGCCATGACAGTATTAACGTAGAACGTAAGGTATAGCAATATTTTTTCGCTCAAAGCAAAAGCAACCGAGACCGCCGTTTGTACGACGATACATAGGTACATGCTATACATATTCTCGCGTCGCAGTGTAACTATATGTATTTATACTTCGGTACACATACACATAGAAAGATGGAGAGAGATTACACATATATATACACGATATAAATGAACTTATGCCGTTCCTTCAACGATATACAGGGTGACGCCAAGCAGGGGCAGAAGCTTTAGAACAACATAGAGGAAGTTTCATTTTTAGGAGCAGCGAATCTCCTATAAACATTAATTTGAAAGCTTCTTAACGAGTTATAAACGTTATTATTAAATGTTAAAGAATAATCATTTTTAAGTTACAGTAACAAGATATTGATTAAAGCTTATGTTTGTCGAGAATATGCTATTTTTCAGGATGACAAAATTAAATTATTTAAGGAGAAAATGATTTATTTAATTTTTTAAAATAATAATTTATATTTTCGTGAATACATTTATTAGAGAATAGATAGAAATTTATTATTGAATCGTCTTTCGAACAAATTTTTAGTACACGTTGAAAAATTTGAAATTAATCTCGAGTATTTATTTATGAGCATCTCAGAGTTTCTCAATTTAAGGTTTTCACGAGTTTCTTATTTACTAAGTTTAATATAAAAATATCCTTAATCTAAGTAAAGAAAAAATTAATGTAGACAATCTTAATAAAATCGTTAAATGATTATTTATAGTCTATATCTCTCTTTTTAACGAAGCAACTATTAAATACTTTGCAGATGAATAATGAATCTCATATGTTAAATCAAAACTGCACATACTTCTTAAAATTAGATTCTACATATAAACTATTACTTAAAAATATATGCATAGCTTAGAAGTATAAATAGAAAGCTAGGCAAGTTTACATACTAATTTTTAATAATTTTATATTATCTTTATTTTAATTATTAATTTGAATTATACTAATTAAACTAATACAGCAAATGTATTATAAATATCTTTCTTGATTTCATTTGTCAGTATTTTCTGAGGAGCTATAAAAGCACTATGTCACTCATCTGCAAAGTATTCATGTAGCAATAGATAATAAATGTAAAAAGCAAATGTGCAAAAATTGAGAACCTCTGATATATATGTAAATAATTTTACGATTCTACTATCATACTTCTACTAAACTAATTGCAAATTTTACTCGCAAGCATAGTGCGGGCTCGATCGAACGACGAAATTTCGGAATTTGTCCCGCCTCGATGTTTTGATATGTACGATTTGTCGCGTATTCCGATATCAATGCCACGAGTCATATGAATAATCAGGCGATCCTGGGACAATGACAATGATGTGCACGAAGATTGAAAACACAATTTTCGATTTCACGGCTCGTTTGAGCGCAGAATACAATTTGCGATCTCATAAGTTTAATTATTAATTTTTAGTTTAATATTAATCCTCTTTTATAAACGGTACAGTTGAAATGGACAAAATTATTAAATTCTTAAAGAGAACTGTTATTATATTTGATTAAAAAGAAAAATAACAAAATAGAAAAGTCCATTTAAATTTAGCAAAAGCGGGAGAATTGCGATGAAAGAAGAGCATACATATGGAATTCATTATGAGTTTTTATATCACGTTTCATGAAAAGGTTTTGTTCAAAGGCTAAATCGAGAGTTGTGTCGAGTAGTTTCTCGCGACATCATGTACGACGTACGTGTCCTAAGTTTCGACGATCCTTCGCGTTCTCTGTTTGCGGTCAAGCATGAAGCTCGTCGTGACCGAATTACCAAACATATCAGTACGAGTTACACAGCACGATAGCTGTCTTCACATCAATTTTCAAGGTGCGTTTTCACGCATTATATATAGGACGGCAGACTAATGACAGGAGTGAATCGACATGTAACAGAGCAAATTGATGAACACTGTGCTATTTCTTTCTTCCTTTTCTTTCAAGACTAATTATTGTTGCTACGTATTTTCTAAAACTTTTATTTGAACTGTAAAAACAGTGTGAATTAGTATTCACGCTGATATCTATATTAAAATCAATCATGAAGCATCGCTTGACAGAATTTACTTTAAAAGAGAAAAATTAAAGTTTTTCTAAAATATTTAATTTGTTTCTTTTCTTTTTTTAAATTCGATGTCTACTAAAATTTTGTGTAGCAAAACTATATCGTCTTTCCTAGTTAAATTTACTCGCATTTCTTGATGAAACACACAAATATATTTTTAAATATAATTTGAATTTAGTAATTTATGTAGAGATTTTTATTAATATTTAAATTATTTTTCTGTATCATATCTTTGATTTTTAATTTAATTACACTGTATGTCATAAAATCTTGTTGCAAAATACTAAATAAATATATTTTTCAGTTATTTTTACTATTCGTGAAAATCTTAGAAAAATAGGGTTTAAAACTAAATAAATATTAGATAATTCTGTACAAAATAACATTTGTATTTATTTTAAGAATAGGAATTGTTTAGATTTAATGTGAAACATATTTTCTTATATGTTACACGAAAAATTGAACGCACCAGTTTCAACTTGAAAAAGATTTCAAATCTCATTACTATGCGAGAGAAGCGCACGGAAACATAAAGTATAATCTATGTCTCATATTTGATTAACTTGTGCAGAGTTTCACGATCTCCATTGCAACCGCGAAGTTCACATTTCAACTAATATTTGATCAATGTAATATGAGCATCTCAAATCTCATTTACAGAAATGCTGTGGTTGCCTCGAGCTTCAGATTTAAGCAAAATGATTAATGCATATCTAGAAGATGCAAGAGTATAATACGCTTAATGTTTGACAATTTTTTTAAAACGCATTAATGTTTGAAAATGTTTTATTTATAATACATATATAAAATAAATAATGACATCAAACATCAAAACCTTATAATTATTATTTATTTGCTTTTAACAAAATAAAATTTATTTGCTTTAACAAAATAATAAATTCAATATTTTTGCAAAGATTTACTTTGGGAGTTATGAAAATAAAGTTTATTTAGCGTTATATATTCAAAATATAAGAATTTTTCTACAAAAATGACACACATATATATGTTATAAAATAATATTTATTTTTAATTATAAATTCACAGCGAAAATTATATTCTATAACATAATAATGTTTCAAAACATAGGTTTTTTAAAATTAAGTTATTTAAGAAAAAATTAATAATAAATCATCAAGAAATGCGATAATATTTCGACACCAAATGCACAAAATCAATCAGCTGAATATAATTGTCCATTGTATGTAAATGTCGAATATTATTTTTATTTATCTAGAAACTTTTCCCACCATGTTCATTGATTAAATATTTTTATAAAAATAAATTCTTTAATCAAATAACTTATCGATACTTTTTAATGCAAGTATTTCATTACAACTACTCCGAATATAAATTAATTATAATCGAGGCTTTTAATTTTGAAATTTCGAAATCCATCATGTTAAAAGTGATGATTTTTTTTATCTTTCGAATTCAATCTCAAGAAAATAACTTTATTCTTTTAACCGCGTTTACAACGAGACGTGTATTGTGATGTATTATACATTTTGGTACATGTCGAGACGCACAACAATTTTATTTCTCAAGCTGCATTCGCAACCGCACTACTTGACATACATTGTGCTTATATTGTATTAAAGCAATACTTGTATTTATAATGTTTATAAATGCAATGTCACGCGCTTCTTTTTTCTACGTTATAACATTGCATACAAAAATATAAATATAATAAATACATTGTCATGTAGACTTGAATTATTTATAATTTGTTTAATTATTATTTATTTGCTTTTAACAGAATAAAATTTATTTGCTTTAACAAAATAAGGAAATTTAATATTTTTACAAAGATTTACTTTGTGAGTCATGAAAATGAAATGTTTATTTGGCGTTATATATTCAAAATATGAATTTTTCTACAAAAATGATACACATA